ATATAATATTTAATTAAAAATGAATAATATTCCTGCCAATTATTATTAAATTATATTCTGTCTAAATAAACACTAGAGAATAATCAAAAAGGCACAAATATGTTATTATAATTTTATATATGATGTTTCATGCCTGTTTATAAAATACTATAAACAATAATAATAATTAACTGTATACATGAATGGTACGTCAAGCTTAATGATTACGAAAATAATAATTTAACAATAATTTTCGCATAAATTAAAGGAAAATCACTAGTAAAGAAAAAAAAAGGTGTAGTATACTATTCATTTTTATAATAAATGAATGAAATATATAAATTATATATATATGTTTGAAATATAAACCTACGATATTATATAACAATTTATTCTTTCCCTTGGAAAATTTATTAATATTAGACTATAATTTTTTTTATGATATGTTATGCTTCTATTAAAACTATTTTCAAATAAAAGAATTCGTATAAAAAAATATTCCCTTATATAAATTTATTTTCATTTTAATAAAATATATTTTTACATTGTAGCATTCATTAAATGATGCACATATTGATTTACATAATTTAATTACATATATGCATTATGTATTATAATGTTTAAAGAGGCTCTTGTGATAATTCATTTTAATTAGTATCCCAAAAAATACAATAATATATTTGAAAAAACATTTAAGAGTGTATACATAGTAATTTCAGAATGAACATAATTTAAAAAATATTTATCATATAAACTGAATTTTAATTACGAAAAATATAAATGGAATTTTTTTAATGTTAATAAAATATAGTACATTTATTATAATCAAATATAAAACTAAATTTTAATCTTTATATTATATTATAATTATAATAACTCTGTAAATAAATATATACCAACTATGTTATAGAAAAATATTGTTTTCAAATTATATTTATATATGTATTTCACAAAATCATTATAAATAAAATATGAATATAAGTATAATACTTAATTATTTTGTCATAAATAAGAAAATTATAAAGAAAAAATTTTATGGTTTTATTTAATGAAGCATTATTTCTGTAAATGTATGAATAAAATCCCATTTGTTGTGAATGTGATACACAGGAATATTTGCATTAGAGTATATCCATGATTTAAGAAGTGTAAATATTAATAATATATGCTGAAATACTGAAAAGTAGTACATGATAATATGCTTATATTATGTAACATATAAGGATAAAAATATAAATAAAAGTGTATTTCTATACATAGTATATATATGAGGAAAAATATGAGATTATAATATTATTAGTAAAATATTGTCATTGTTATTAAATATATATATAAGAGATAAAATAATACCTTTAATTTATGTGTACTAGAAAAGAAAAATTTTTTCCATGTGCATAAAAAGCAAGAAATAAAAATATTATATAAATACCTAATAAATAAATAAATAAGTTCGTAAAAAAATCCTTCAAAATACAATATAATTATATAATATTTTAACCTTTGCTAGGAAACAAAAATATTACAACTAAACGAAGCTTTCGCTAGAAGAAACATATATATTTACAGTGCTTTCATATGTAATATACTTTTTTTTGTAGTACTATATATTAAGATGGACATTTAAAGGGATGAACCTTTATGAATTATTCTCTATATTAACTGGTAAAATGTAGATTTCACTGAATTACCATTTAGATATCCTTAATTTTATCATAATAAGTTATGAGAAAAAATATGTGATACAACCTTGTCTTATGATGCATGTAATAAAGGTAATAATATACATACAGAAAAACACATGGATGGTTTTCACTTGAAGTAAATTGACTGATAGAAAATAAAAAGATCCTCAAATGAATTAATAATACATGAATTATTATTACTCTTCATATAAATGAAAAAATTGTATATATATCGACAAGGTTGTTTTATTTTGTGAATGTACAATCGAAATTTTATTTTCTACCTTTGAACATTTATTTATTTATTTGTTGATATTATAGATAGATTTAAATCTACAGAATTATTGAATTCAAGAGGAGACCAAGTCCACAAAATTTTATAAACAGTTATTATTTAATATCTCTACAAGTAAAAGGAAAAATAATCAGATTTTTATGTTAAATTTCTGTGATAAATGAAAAAAGGTGATTGTGTACGAACATGCATTTTTATACACAATCATGCAAAAGTTCTTATACACTTTTCATATGTTTGTGTAGGCCATTTTATATGATACTGATAATCATTCTATATATTTGGATAAATTAGAAATAATATAATACGTTAAAAAAAAATTAAATATGTAATGTTGTAAGGTACGAATAAGATCTATAATAAAATATGAAAGGTATATATGTATCTTTTACTTAGAACTTATATTTCAAGGTAATACTCTAAAATATTATGAATAATAAGTATGTAAAACAAAAAAACATAGGCCTGGACAATGGATAGGTGTTCATATATAAGTTCTTGAAATGTATATCCATTTAATTTAAAGAAAGGAATGTAATTTTTCATTCTGTTAGTAAATTTATATTATGAGTTAAAGTAGCGTATAAAATGAGGTACATGTACATAGTTACATTTGAGTATGCATATATGCATAATTACGATGAAGCATGATTTAAGTTAATGGAAGGATTAAACATTTTCCTGGGCGCACTTCTATGAGGTGATGCAGGCTAAGTAATTTTCTTCTCCTAAAAATGTCTAATAAATAAAATAATTAATATTCATCATAAGTAAATTTTGAACGTTCTATTTCGTAATAATACTCGAATTGAATTTATTGTACATTCACATTGTCACTGGATTGACTATACTAAAAATAAGGATATTTTCAGTATATGCATGAAAATAAAATGTTCTGGTTTTAATTTAAATAAGGTAAAGTATAATTGTTTATATATTGTTCCTGGTTTAGAGTTATAATTAAATATTTCTCGCAAATGTACTTAATTATATTTTATCTTTGAATCACGATTATATTTAATAATTATTTGGAACATATAAATATTTATATATTAATATACTCTTCAAATACATAGAAGTGATATAAATTGAAATATTGGAGGGTTTTAATACTGGTGCTACGCTAATATAGGTTATTGTGCACATTGATATATTATATGTAATTAATGTACAATATACTTATTATTATAAGTTATAGCAAATTAAACAAAAAATGTATGTGTTTTACTGCTTAATTGATGAATCTCTTTAAAAAATGACGCTATATACTTCGTATTATTTTGATTATATTTCTATATTTTATTCATACTATAATAAATTAATTATATTAATTAATAGTAAATATTTTATCAAATTAACAATGGTATTATGTAATGTAATCCAAAAAAAAATAATATTTTGTTTTATATGGAAATGTATATAAGCTATAAGTATAAGGTCTGTTAATAAGGATAAATAAATATTTTTTATAATTAATATACTAAAAAAAATTCATATGCATATTAATATAATAAAATGTTAATATATTTTTTAGAATTAAACATTATTTAATCGGCGAATTATATATAATATCTCATATTATTATACAATTCGTAAAACAGTATAATGTATCTAACAAAAAATATAATAATGTATATATGCTTGAATTATTACAAATTATCATATAATTCATTTGTTCTTTGTACAATCATATATCATCTGTAGTAATTATTATGCAAATTTCAATTATGATATTGAACTAACTTTAATATAAATAATATGTATTATAAGATCTAAGGTTTATCAATGTTTTCTGAGGTAATTACTGATTAATTATTTGGATCATATTTTATTATAAATTATTTTACCATTTTTACATTTTCGTCAATCTCTTAATTGATAGAAGCATATTTTTAATTCTAATTGTGATATTAACAAAAAAAATTAAAAGTGATATAACAAATTATGTAATCGATAATTTATTTCATAGCAATATAATGATTAACACAAGTAAATATATTAAATACTAAAAATCATCCTCAGAAAATAAGTGTTGTATATTCATGATGAATATAGTTTATATTAGATTAAAAATAATAAATTTAAATATATAAAATTATATGCATGCTTTTTGGATAGAATTAATACTTGTAATATTATAATTAAATATATATTTGTTTGTAATGTACAGTATATGAATACATAAATAATTATATACATTTATAAAAAACATTTGAATTAAATAAATAATAAAATATAATGAATAGGCTTAAACACAAAATATTAAATTAAATCCTGAATTATGAGTCATAAAATTTTATATTTCACGATAAGCAGTCCTGTATTAACATATTATATATTTTGAAACATTGCCTATAATATCTAGCATTTTATATTTCTGCTTGTTTTATAATAGAATTAAAAATATTTAATATTTACATCAATACATAAAAAAAAAATTTTATATATGTAGAATATACTTTAAGTTTTTAGCAATATATTAATTTATAATTATATATTTTTGTAAAATTAATCTGTATTATTATACATATTATAAATGCTATTTCTTGATAGTGTCATGAAATCTTCTGATTGTTGCATTATATTGCTTCTATCATCTATACTATAATTGATATATATTTTACGCTTCAGTCCATGTAAAAAATGTGAAATATTTGGGGTAGACTAATATATTTTAATAAATAATCATATATAAATGAATATAATATTTTTAGAATTAACATATTTTATAAAATATATAAAAAATAATATCTAGGATAAATATATATATATATATACTATAATATATAACGTTGTATCCAATTAATAACAGTAATGATATTACTACTGTTACAAGTATTGTAATTACAATGGTTTCAACAATATTAGATTTTGAAGGGACTGATATTTGTTCTGTGCTAACTGGGCTAGCTTGAGTTATATTTTTTTTATTGTATTCATTTATAGTACTTATTAATGAGCTACAATGCTTAGTCTCTATATCTGTTCCAACACTATTTTCTATAACATTTAGACATATTGACAGATCATATATTTGTTTTATTTTTTCTAATGTATCATCGGTTATGCTAGAATCAGCATGTACTTTACACACATATATCTGCATTTCATTATATTCATTGAAAATTTCTGAATACATGCTTTTCGTAGCACAAGGATTATCTATTTTCTTAAGTTCATTATATAGCCAAAAATACAAATATAGACAACAAGATTCTACAGATATACCACCATTTTGAAAACGATGTAGGTAATATAAATATGACATAGCCGTTTTACATATATTATTAAAATATGGTTTTTGGATATTTAGTAATTTGTTCTCAATTTTCATACATTCACTTTTCCATTTATCTTTATCCTGATCTTTAAGTTCTTTTAATATACCTCTACATTGAGGGAATACACTTATATGTCTATTCTATAAATAAGAGAAGCATTTTATGATGAAAAATTTACATAAATTTAAAAAAGTCCCTATATTATTTAAGAATAATGGAATATAAATTATTATAGTTCTGTAATTTATATTATAATTAATAAAACACACAATATCGTCTCCCATCTATATAAGATTATATTATATATCCGTTTATATGAATAATATTATGATTGATATGTAAATATAAGTATATATATTTAAAAAAAAAGACATTTGATATAGAATATATGTATTCGATTCTATAATAAAAAAAAAGAATTAGGTAATAATGTTACTAATAATAATTTTGATCTTTAATTCTTTTCATTAATACAAATATTGAAGTACTAATTTGATGAATGTAATATATTATATAAGCATAATATAAAAAAAATGAAAATAAAATATATTATACATAAAAGAAAAAAAAAATGAAGATAGATAAAATATAATGTAAAATAAAACTGGTATATGAATAATATATTGCTTTATTCATAATATAAAAAAGAAAAAAAGAAATTAAAATTTATAATTTTATTATAAGATATTAATTTGATTATATATATATAATATAGTTTTTATACTTATATATTGTTGTTACCACAAAGGTAAATATAATTAAATGTAGAAAAAAAGAGATATTATGTAAATTACGGACTCGGATCCAGATGATTTTATATATAGATTATTATTAGGTTCTCCATAGATACATTATTTAATGTTATCGTTTATAAAATATAGGTAAATAGTTATATATAATAGTATATATACAATTTTTACATTTGTACTATTTGATGATATTCATATAAATGAAAAATATATAATAATTTTTTTTTATTGGATAAAACATATTTAATAATTTTTAATTTTCAGTTTCAATTAGAGATATGTTTAAATATTATAAATAATTTTATGTGATAGATTTGGGTTTTTTGATTTAGGTTTTAGGTTCATGTTTAGGTTTTTGGTTTAATGGATTAGTATTATAAGATTTTTTTATGTATATGTTTCAGTTTACAAATATTATTATAACAATGAGTTCATTTTTAATATTTCAAAGGGATAAATTTTGTTTTTATAAAATATTCCACATTATTACATACATATAGAGATTGAATTCATGATAATTGCAAGCACAGTGATATTATTTTATGTTATCTTACTATAATAGGAACTTTGCAAAATAGGTTATGAATCATACATCCTATAGTATGGACTCTAACAATTTAGTACTTATAACAATTTATTAGTAAATCTAATTAACCTAAAGAAGAAATAGAAATATT